GGGGGGGGGGGGGGGGGGGTAGGAGGCTGGTAAGGACACCCCACCTCCACCCTTTCATTTGATTGTCACATACTGCTGAACAAAACATAACCAATCCCCTGATGGGTGGCTGTCCGCATGCTTTCCCTCATTCAGGGAAGTGTGTCCTTCTAATTGCCTTGAAGGTAGTGTTGCTTGTTGAAAAGCTGTAAACCCCATCTTGAAATCAATGGGGTATCACTTAACATCAGCAATTACAAGATTCAATCATAAACTGCTTATCCATCTGAAAAATATTAGGGTAATCATTTTTTCCCTCCTCCAAAAACAAACAAACCCAGTGAACACACTAATATGCTGTTGAACAGGCGATAGCTTTTATGGCTTTTTTCTATTTAAATACTTGTTATTCTGAGCTGAGCAGCTCCATTTCTCACCAAAATCAATGTCTGGAGGGAATTACAAAGTTAGATTATATGCAGAATTACACACATAGAAATTAGCTTTCATTGTTGCAGAATATAACTTTAAATAGCATTTTTAGATCAAATTATTGTTGGATGGATAGGTTTTATGAGATCCCATTGGAGTCTGGAGTAAAACCTCCGAGTCAACTTTTCCTACTTTGTGCTTTCTCGACTGTAGGAGAAGTGGAAAGGCTCTCTGACAGGTTTTGAGTCATACCTCCACTGTGTTTTGTTTTCTCTGAATCAGTCGTACGTCTAATCGATGTCATCTCCTGCTGCATGTGAAGTGACAAATCGGTCCTGGCATCACACTGAAATAGCTTTGCTCTCTCGGAGTCACTCTGTCCAAACTTCCAACTTTTGCAACTGTCATCAAGTTGCCAAAGACTCAGGTCAGCCATGGTGTTACTTTTTCTGTCCGACTAGCATTTCTACTATCATCATATAACTACTTATGTTTGTGCTATCACAACAACAGGCTCTTATTCCATCTGAGTCTGTGTCTGCATCGTTATTTCAACTTGAATGTCATTTAAAAGTTAGATATTTTTCATTAGGGAGAAAGGATACTTGATAGGACGGAAACTATTAGCTGTTAAATAATTTAGCAAAGCAACAGAAAAACAAAAAAAAGCATCTTTTAAATTGTATTAAGTAATTTATCAAGTAAAATTGAGTAGTAATTCATTTCCAACTTCTCCAATCTCAAAGATTCTACTTTGATATCATTCTAAATTTAATATTTTTGGATTATGGAATATGGATTATGGTATGTCAGACAAAACAAGCTAAAATGGGCCCTTTGGCACTGTAAAACTGTAATGGGTGTTTGTCCACAATTGTCATATATTTTATA